AGGATTTTTCAGCTTTAAATTGTGACAATAAGTCGGCAGTTGGGCAAACGATGCTTCTGGCGACCCCCTCAACAATTCCAAGGCATAACATTTGGCTCTCCAAGCTTGAGAATATGATATACTAATCTTGAACCGAGCATTCATGTCAGTCATAATTTCATGTCCCCGATATACCCTGCCATTCAAAAACATTAACTCAGCCAGAAAACCACCCAACACCTTTTTGTTTGCCTGTCTATGGTGAGGAAAAACTTGGGTTCTTGAACATGTATGTTTATCAATAAAAGTCCTAACTTGAAACATTTCGCAATCTTTTATTCTCTTTGCAATCATACGCCACGTACAGTTTTTGTCAATCATACACCTTGTTTCGAAACGATCTTTGCTTGATTTGTTAACTTTTAGTTGATAGCCATCTTCCACACATTTCGTATACAAAGCTATCTTCAAGTCTTCCTTTGTATCAAAACAATCATCTTTCTTGATACGAATAACTTTTGTGTAACAATCAACTGCTTTCTTTACCAACTCTTCTTCCGGTATCTGAAGTAATTCTGGCATATTCCAGTTATACGCCCGTGGCATTTTCTTTTCTTCGGGGACTTTTTCTTCTTCTTTTTCTTCTTCAGGATTATATGAATTACAGAATGGATGTTCAACATGTTCATTCATAGTCGTAACTTCCTCCTCATTATCATCAACAATACATTCTTCGGCAACGGCTGTTTCATCATCAAAATTCGGGTATTGACCAATATCAAAATCATTACATGCAGGGTCTGTTTCTTCTTCTGAAACATCATCAAAATCCGTGTATTGACCAATATCAAAGTCCAGATATTGACCAAGACCAAATTTCGAATACTGACTAGTACTCACAATTTTTTCTGTTGGCTCATCATCGTCTAACTGGTCAATACGAAAACCGGAATTTGGTGCTGAAAGTTGATTGGGATTGGGATTAGAGAAAGGTTGTGGGTTTTGAGAAAAACTTAGTTGATTACTACCCGCTACTGACCCAACAATACTACTTCTAGGTTCAACAACATACAATGTAACATCATCTTGTGAAACACTAATGTAAGCAATGAATCGTTCAACATCTTCATTGTCGGTTAACAAATAAACTTTACCATTTCTCTGATAAGATAGCCTAAATCCACTTAGGGGCTCTAAATTCAATTTATTAGAAACACGTAGCATTAGAGTTTCATAAGTTAACTTTTGTAAAGACAATTTTAGTTGAAGATTCATGGGTAAAGGCATATATTGTAAAACACCATGAACATTATCCCATGACCCTCCAAAACACAAATCTATCCAAACATGATCAACATTAGATGATTTCATGGTTGTAAATTAATTTACTAAACAGACGAGCTGCGAAACTAAAACCTGTTGCCGGATTGGGAAGGATGTCGTTGGATATAGGAACGGATGTCGCCGGAGAGAGTGATAGATGGAGATGGAATGAGTTGCGATTTAGGGATTTAGTTTATGATTTGCTGCTGTTGCGTAGTTATATACCCAAAATTTCAGTGTTGTGATTTACAGATTCTCGTTGCGATTTACGGATTATCGTTGCGATTTACAGATTCTCGTTGCGATTTACGGATTATCGTTGCGATTTACGGATACGCGTTGCGATATACAGATACACATTGCGATTTACGGATACGCGTTGCTATTTACGGATACACGTTGCGGTTTACGGATACGCGTTGCGATTTATGTGTTCGGGTTGCGATTTTCATATTCGCGTTGCGATTCTTGAAAATCGCAATGCGAATTTGTACTATCGCATTGCGATTTTCAAGAATCGCGTTACGATTTTGGAAACTGATTTGCGATTCTGGGGATCGCGTTGCGATTTTTATTTCGCGTTGCGATTTTGTTGGTCATTTTGGCAAATCCAAAAAAAGTTGGTTAAAATCGTATATTATAAGGCATTTTTGGTCACTGAGGCGATTTTCTCTTTTTTAAATATTAGTTGATACAATATTTTAAAAGAATAAATTTAAGATTTATATATTTTTAAACTAAATTTAATAATTATATTTTTCATATTTATAATTCATGATTATATATATAATCTTAAGTTGAGTATTTCTAATATAATTAATAATTTTAATTTCTTATTAAAAATAAAATATTCAAAAAATATAAATGATTCAAACATTAATATATGAATATATTTTTTATTTATACATCTAAATATAAATATACATTTATATAAATATATTTTTATTCGTATATTGAAATATTTTGATTAAAATATAAACATATTTTAAATACTAGTTTATACAAGAAAAATAAAATATATCAAAAATATAAATGATTCATACATTTAAATATAAATTGAATCATTTATATTTTCTATACATCTATATTTAATAAGAAAATAAAATTATTGGGGGACTATTTTGCAAGTTTTAAAAGTTGGGGACCTAAATTCAAGTGCCTGAAAAGTTCAATGACCGTTTATATAATTTACCCTAATTTTCTAACAGTGATTTAAGTTGGGGGACCATATTGCAAACGGAATAAATGTTGGGGGACTGTATTGCAAGTTTTAAAAGTTGGGAGACCTAAATGCAAGCTTCAGTAATAAAAGTTCACAATCACAATTGTAAACTAATACATAATAAATATTTTTTTTAAACATAAGAAAATTAGTCACTTAAGTTCACAAGGACAATATAAGAAAAATGTTAAAAAATCAAACCAAATAAATTTCGATAGAAGATAGATACGAACATATCTGATCGCATTGATAAACGAACCACAAAAGGAGATGAAACAATTGAAAGACCGCTGACAAATTGCAAATTTTAATTGAATGAGTTGAAAATACTATCCGTGAATGCAAATCGCGTATCCAAATCCAATCTGAGGATCCAAAGCAGGGAAGATCAACATGATAACAAATAAAACGTCATTTTGATCAGTTGTGACGATGTCAAATCCAACTCTAAAAAAATGATAAACAAAAATAACGGCTAAGTGACCGAAAAGTAAAATTATTAAAAAAATAATAAAATATATTATAATAAATAAAATAATAATAAATATCGATAATCGACGATCAACATTAAAACTGATACAACCGCATATGACAAAGATTCAATTTTGAAGTAAAAAGATATTAGCGCTTTTATTCTCCTTTATGATCTTTAGTTTTTTATTTGTTTTAATATCTTAATTGGAGATATAAAATTAAAGTTAAATGATACTTTTTAAAATTGTTATAATTATTTTGTTAATTTCAAGGCATTATATTGTTTTTATTATAATGTGTCACATCTATAAATTTAACGAAAGAATTCTAGTAATATTATTAATTGGATTTAAATTTTTAAATTTAATTTGAAAGTTGAGGGACCAAATTCTTATAAATTTTTAAATTTTAACTGTTTTCTTTCCAACTTATAATTAAAATGAAATAGTTAACTAGAATAAATTTAACTCTTTGCCGTGTGTAACTCCATTTAGGGGCGTAAACGGGTCGAGTCGAGTTTGAGTATTGTTGAGTTCGACTTGAAAATTATAAAATGGAGCTTGACTCGACTCGAAAACTCACGAGCTTAAAATTTTCAAGCTCGACTCGAACTCGAAATCCTAAACTGAAGCTCGTGAGCAGCTCGAAAAAGCTCGAAATGAAAAAAAATCTTAAACTTAAATCGATTGAAACCTCAAGCTCAAACTCGAACATGAACCTTAAATATATGAAAATCTTATTGTATTTTAAAAAATCAATACATAAATATTAATATTATTAATAATTTATTTAAAAAACAATCATAATATATTATATTTCGAGTTGCTCACGAGCTTTTCGGGTCGAATATCAAGTAGCTCGTTTCGGCTCGTTAAAAACTCGAGTCGAAGGCAAGTTTATTTGATCCGAGTATTTATCAAACCTTAATCGAGTCGATCTCGAATTGCTCGCGATCTGTCTCGTCTCCCTTACAGTACTAACTCCATTTATCTAGATGTAAGAACTCTTGCCCTGCATCAAAATGTTTTTTTTCTCATTTAATTCTCAGGAACCTTTCAAGTTCCTTCTCTTGAGCTTCTACTATATAGGTTGGCTTTAAAAACAATTCATGCATTGATAAGCTTGCATCTAATCCGTATGATCACATTGTATACGTATGCATATATGTATGTTGTAGACAATTATTTTTGTCTGGACTTAAAAAAATATTATTATTATTAATTTTGTTTACAATGTTTTGTAGCATCCCACGTGAAGCATCACCAAGTGAGTCACCCATGCCCTGCCAACATCATTCAACAACTCCATCACTTCACGTAAATCATACCTAATTCCCCACTAAATACAATCATGCAACCATAAAGAGGGGATTCGGTGGGAAGCAAGGAGGGGGACAAGAGGGAGCATACTCGAATTTAGGATAAAAATTCAGGGATTGCAAAAGTCTTAGGGGTGGCACTTTTGAGGGGTGACACTTGTATTAGGAGTGACACTTGAGTGGCACTTTTGAGGGATGACACTTGTATTAGAAGTGACACTTGTGGAGGGGTTGTCTGGGATACCCCGGGCACCATGGAAGTCCGCCTCTGGATGAGGGGTTGCCTGGGATATCCTGGGCACCATGAAAGTCCACCCCTGAGAGGGAGCATTTGGATAGGGATCAGAAAAAAAGGAGGGGCTCTCGGTTTGTAGGGGTTTCATATTTTTTTGGTGAAAAAAAATAATGTAATAATAAAAAAAACGTATCGAACAAAACATATTGTAACATTTCGAAAGGATCAACAAATAAAAAAAAATTAATCATAACTATTTTTTAAAATAATAAATAAATGTGTTGTAAAAAAATTGGTTATGACATATGTATGAAAGAACTAACTCATAATGATATAATGACATGGACAATACAGACTTCTTACGTATCATAACTTTTAGCTCAACATCGTAAACAATGACTTAATCCCCTCGTTGACATAATAACTTTAAAGTTTCTTCTTGAATTCTCGAATATTAACAGACGAAGAAAGGGACTAGAAGAGATATGAAATATAGGTGACATCTCCTTTTTCAGCATAGGAGGTTGAACTTAAACTACCGCTCCTCTTCATCTCAATCATTTGGATGCAATCTTTTTGCTTGAATCACATTCCTCAAGATACACCCTAGAAATAATAATGGTTACGCATAGCGGGAAATCGAGGTTGAAACAACCTTCATTTGCTTAGACACTAGTTTTGATTATTACAGGCTAAATTTAATTAACACCAATATCTAGCTGGTGGAGTCGTAAACAGCAGGAGGAAGACGAGGAGTTGTATGAACTTCCAGTGGCGTTGCTTTAGAACTGGTTAATCCCGCCGCTTCCGGCATATCGATCGCTTCACCCGATGGGCTCTCAAACTCGAACCAGTGCAGCAAATTAGCCAGCGTAAGCTGCAAAATCTGAAGCGCAAACGAAACTCCAGGACACATTCTTCTACCACTCCCAAACGGAATCAGATGGAAATTTTGTCCCCTCACATCAACACCTTCATTGGCACTCATGAACCTTTCCGGTCGAAATTCAGTAGGGTTTTCCCATACACGTGGATCACGTTGAATCTTCTGCAGATTGAGAATAAGCCAAGTCCCGGCTGGAATATGGTATCCGTTAACCGTACACTCTTCGATGGCTTCGTGGATTACGGAGAGTGGGACAGCAGGGTATAGGCGCAGCGTTTCCTTAATGATGGATTGAAGGAACACTAAGTTTTTGGTGTCTGATTCTGTCACGAACAACTTGTCCCTACCGACATGGATGTCTAGTTCTTGTTGGATTTTGTTCAAGGCATCAGGATTGTTGAGTAATAGAGATAATGCCCATGTCATTGTAACGGATGTTGTATCTTCTCCTCCTAAGATAAGAACCTGTTTGATCGTGTAGCATTAAAATATCAATGATGAGTTTATTAAAACTAAGGATTTGATTAAGAAATATGAACATACCAGACTGGTAGCTTTGTTGATGGTATCGGCATCGTGCTCCTCTGCGTCACGAAGAAGAGATAGCATTACTCCCATGAAATCTTTCACGCTATTTGCTTCATCTTCCACTCTCTTCTGCTTGTGCTCCTGCAGCCATCCATCGATAACTCGGTCCGCTTCTTCGGCTATCTTCCTCATGAACTTCTCGTCTCCGCCGATGTCCAACCATCTCAAAAACGGCAGCGCATCAGATACCGAGAACTTCCCACTCATTTCCACGAAGTCGTCTAACGACTTCTTCCATTTCTCGGTTTCATCATCTCCTTCACTGGATTCAGGTATTCGCTTCCCTACTATCACTCTCAGAATTACGTTTAGAGTAACATTTTTAAACCATCTCTTCATCTCCACCAATACTTTATCAGAGTTACTACTTCTCTTCCTGTTCCATAACTCGTATAATTGCTGCAGAGACGTCTTTATCTCGGATTCCCGGACATGTTTAAGCGAGTCGAGTCGGTGATTCGAGAGGAGCTCGATAGTGGCGAACTTGCGCACTTGACGCCAATAAGGCCCATACGGCGCGGTGCTGATCATGGCACGGTTGTATCCCAAGAGTTCCATGCTTAATAGCTTTGGACGAGTGGCGAATGCTTTATCATTTATGGTGAGACATTCTTTAGCAATCTCCCAGCTGCTCACGACCAAAGCTCTACGCACACCCAATTTGATAGTGAAGATCGTTCCGTATTTGTCCGACATGTTAGCCAAGGTTACGTGGGGTGGTTGCTGCCCGCCTAAGAGGCGGACATGGCCGATAATAGGCCATGCTCCACCGGATTCCGGTGCTGTTTTCTTCTGGCTTGTGTTTCTTGAGACAGTTTTTGGTATCCATAGAAAAGAGAGAAGAGAGAGCAGCAATGGAAAAGCAATTAGTGCAACAGTTGATGTTGCTGCGACTAAATCGAAATACTCCATCGTTGTAGCTCTACTTTGATTGATCAAAGTTACATCTGCAATGGCGGATTTATAGGGAATTAATGTGGTTTTTTTTCGAAGTTTAAGAAGAAGAAGAGATGATGCATTATGCTAACTCCAACATCATTTTCTACTTTTTTTAGAAAAGGATCCCTTAGACAACAATTTTCGAACCTTACAGGGCAGATCATTGGAAAAATAAAGATATCTATCATAACAATATTTAAGTTTTATTACAACCACGTATAAATATTTATTTTTTCAATTGATAAAAAACTGCATCCACTTACGATATAAAATAATGTATTTAGAAAAATATCTATAATTTGAGTGATATCCTCGTTTCAAAGGCTAGTTAACTAAAATAAATTTAAGGGTAAAGTATAGTAATGGTCACTGAACATTTCTAAAGCTTGCATTTAGGTCCATCAACTTTTAAAACTTGCAATACAGTCCCTCAACATTTATTCCGTTTGCAATATGGTCCCCCAGCTTAAATCACTGTTAGAAAATTAGGGTAAATTATATAAACGGTCATTGAACTTTTCAGGTACTTGAATTTAGGTCCTCAACTTTTAAAACTTGCAAAACAGTCCCCCAATAATTTATTTTCTTATTAAATATAGATGTATAGAAAATATAAATGATTCAATTTATATTTAAATGTATGAATCATTTATATTTTTGATATATTTTATTTTTCTTGTAAAAACTAGTATTTAAAATATGTTTATATTTTAATCAAAATATTTCAATATACGAATAAAAATATATTTATATAAATGTATATTTATATTTAGATGTATAAATAAAAAAATATATTCATATATTAATGTATGAATCATTTATATTTTTTGAATATTTTATTTTTAATAAGAAATTAAAATTATTAATTATATTAGAAATACTCAACTTAAGATTATATATATAATCATGAATTATAAATATGAAAAATATAGTTATTAAATTTAGTTTAAAAATATATAAATTTTAAATTTATTCTTTTAAAATATTGTATCAACTAATATTTAAAAAATATATTAAATCTTTCAAACAATTTATCAAATATAATATTTTTTATTGTAAAAAAATATAATATTTTCCCATCATTTATTGCTTTCAAATTTTTTGCCGAAGTTCAAATCTCATTATTTTCATTTTCCATTATATTCTTTTTTTTGGCATTGGTCATACTATTAGTATATGTATTATTGTATATCTCTTAACACAAACGATGGTGTTAGCTTAGTGGCTCCACCCTTTATCTTTCATTTACGTGACTCAGGTTTGAGTTTGCCAAAGACCCAAATTTTACTTCTTTGTAACTTAATTTTCTTCTAATTAGGTGGTGACATGTGTCACCAATAACATATATCATGATCATGTGTTAACACATGTCAGATCCTGGTTAAATGATTAATTTATTAAATTTTATTTAATTTATGACCAAATTGATAGCATATATAAATAATTAGGTGGTGACATGTGTTACCAATGACACGTGTCATGATCATGTGCTAACACATGTCAGATCCTAATTAAATGATTAATTTATTAAATTCTATTTAATTTAGGACCAAATTGATTATATAAATAATAAAGACTGAATGTATAATATGTTGGATATATGAACTGCAAAACTACACCGTTAGCACTGACTGAAAATATAAACAGTAATTAAGAAGAACAGATTCGTAAACCGTGTCGTGGTAAGAACCACTGCCTTAGAAACGAATTCGCCTCGATGTGTGTAATCGCTGCAGTAGGCGGACCGTCCCCCGAGGTTAACACGGTCGCTCCGAATTTCGTACACCCGAAACCGGAGTGGACTGCTGGTGGTATTGCACTTCTGATCGGAAAGCACTCAGAGAGAACTCATAGAGAGAACTTTAGAAAACACTTTGTAAGTGAATTGTGAATGTTTTTGAGTGAGTTGAGAAGCTGAATATAGCTATCTATTTATAGGCTAGAAATAGGGTTAAAATCGTCCATAAAATTTCAGGATTAAACCTCTTATTTGTAACAGCTGAAACGTCTAGATGAACCTGACTCAGAAATAGTCCAGGTTCATTGTATCATTATTCAGCTGTTATAACTCCCGAAATTATATCATGTAACCCCTGGAATTAAATCAAATAACTCCTGTAACTCCTGATATTAACAGCTTGTCTCCTCTGTACAAAGCTGTAAATCAGTCCAGGTACATCTTAACGTTTCTGATTTAATTTAGGAATAAACTGTTTAATTTCTGATAAAAAATAATTCAGCTGTTATTATTTGAAATTCAAACAGTCCTCAGCAGCCTATAAATATCAGTTGATATCTTTCACATTTTCCATTTGTTTCTTTCAAAGAGAAATTCCTCAAGAATTTTCTCTAAAAAGATAGTATCCGCGCGGACGTGTCGAAGACACGTATTACCACGACCACGACCACGACCACGACCTCGACCTCGACCTCGACCTCGACCACGACCACGAGCCGAGCCGAGCCGAGCCGAGCCGTGCCGTGCCGAGCCGAGACGAGACGGACGGACGGCGACGGCGGTGCGCGAGAACCCCCCTTGTTCTCTATCACTCAACAAGGAAGTGGAATGTCAAGCCTTAAATACCATTCCCAATAGTGTTTCCAACACTATGTAGGATTGAGCATTACCAACATTCCCCCACTAATGCGAAAGAAATCTTCTAAAACTCGAAAACAAGTTTTCCAGAAGAGTAATAGCGAGATTAGTTGCTTAAGCACTAGTGAACATATCTGGAACTAGTACATAGTGATGATGAGCAATCCTTCTCTTAGATAAGTGAAACTAGTCTGGAACTTTCTAAGATCAGGGTAAACTCATAACACACAACTAACCCCTTCATCCACCTGAGTCCTCGATGTGTAAGATATATATATACAAAAGTATATATTTGGCCATCTTACCTCAGGATTCTAGTAAGTGTGCTAGAAAAATAGCCCAACATTTTTCATAGAAGGCGGCTAACCCTTCTCACTTACATAGGTTATTTCATCAAGTTTATCTCAACATAAACCACCCTTTAAAAAGGAATATGAAATAATTAAGAGCTTTTGTAATAGCTCAACCTCACAAAGGGTTTGGTGACTTTTTTCAAGTTCATTATAAATGAACCACCCAAACTCTGGACTAAGAAGTCATTAAGAATAAATATTCAACCTCATTTATCGGTAAATTCAATAAGTCCTTCTCACTAGAACCATCCAAATACTTGGATTTAAATTTATTAAGAGTTTAACAAACTCAACCTTTCTGTCAGTAAGTTCATCATTTCCTACCCACTCACTCTGGGTTATGAACTTATTAAGAATAGATATTCAGCCAAAATCGGTAAATTCATCAAGTCTTTCTCACTAAGACCACCCAAAGCCTGGGCTATGAATTTATTAAGAGCAATTAAGCTCATACTGGGCATGCACATTATTCATCATAGGGATAGGCAGTAGGAATGTGCACTATGAGTCTTTCCATGGTTTCGTTTGACCACATGGAACTTAGATAACTAAGTTGGGTATCCACCATGAATTCCTCAACCAATGGGCTTTAGACCCATCCCCCTCGACGAATCTAGGACCAGCTTCCGACTTAACCCTTTGGTAAGTGGATCTGCTAGGTTCCTTTCCGAATTCACATACTCTAAAGAGAGCACTCCATTCTTTATCAAGTGTCTAACTGATTCATGTCTTATGCGAATGTGTCTTTTCTTACCATTGTGTTCTTAGCCACACATATTGCAGCTTGTGAATCACACAACAATGAAACTGGAGGAGTCGGTCTTCCCCACAACGGAATATCTGCTAACAAGCTTCTGAGCCACTCGGCTTCTTGCCCAGCTAGGTCAAGAGCTATAAACTCTGACTCCATGGTAGAACGAGCAATACAAGTCTGCTTTGATGATTTCCACGAGATCGCTGCTCCACCCAAAGTAAAAACATACCCGCTCGTAGAGCTTACCTCATCATTATCAAAAACCCAGTTGGCATCACAATATCCTTCCAATACCGTAGGAAAGCCAACAAACTCAAGTTTCCAATTCACAGTACCCTTAAGATACTTCAGTAAGCGTTTAAGCGCAATCCAGTGCTCACCACTCGGATTATGAGTATATCTACTTAGTCTACTCACAGCATAAGCAATATCAGGCCGAGTATAGTTCATTAAGAACATTAAACTTCCGATTAATTTAGCATATTCAGTTTGGGAAACACTACTTCCTTTATTCTTAACTAGATGTATGCTAGGGTCATAAGGAGTTCGAACAGGGACGACATCAAAACTGTCAAATTTCTTTAGCACTTTCTCTATATAATGTGCTTGACATAAAGAAAATCCCTTCTCAATTTTGGTAACTTTGACTCCTAAGATTACATCTACTTTTCCCAAATCTGTCATCTCAAACTTAGTGGACAAGAAATTTTTAACTTTGTTAATGGACTCAATGTTAGAACTGAAAATCAACATGTCGTCAACATAAAGACTTATGATAACACATTCAGTTTCAAACATCTTCGAATACACACAAGCATCCGAACCATTCACAACAAAACCAAAACTAAGAATAGTTTTATGAAATTTCTCATACCACTGTTTAGGAGCCTGCTTAAGTCCATAGAGTGACTTTTTGAGTCTACAAACTTTGCCTTCCATACCAGGTGCCTCAAAACCTAGTGGCTGCTCCATGTAAATCTCCTCATCTAGATCCCCATTCAAGAAAGCGGTCTTAACATCCATTTGATGTACCTGCAACTTATGAATAGAGGCTAGTGCAAATAATGCACGAATCGTTGAGATTTTTGTAACGGGAGAGTATGTATCAAAGTAGTCTAAACCAAACCTTTGAGTGAACCCTTTGACGACTAACCTTGCCTTGTACCGCTGAATCGAACCATCTGGCCTTAGTTTCTTCCGGAAGACCCATTTGTTGGAGATTGGTTTGAATCCCTTAGGCAAGTCAACTAATTCCCAAGTATGATTAGACATTATCGATTCTAGTTCATCATTAACAGCACTTTTCCAAAAACTAGCATCGATAGATCTTATAGCTTCTTCAAAA